GTAGGAAAAGCCATTTACAAAAAATGGACCTGGACCTCTCTCAGCCTGGGTCTGCTGTAAGCCCTTAAGCGCTTTTGTGACCCTTCATTGGACCCACTCCATGATGTGCATGAGGAGCCCAGCACTGGACTCAGCACTCCAGATACATCTCACTAGTACTACGTAGAGAGGAAGGATCAGCTCCCTTGAGCCTGAAAAATCATTACTGATGATTTACTTCCCTACTGTACAAAGAAGCTCCTCTCTCCCCTCCCACATCTCCATGCTAGGACTGAGAGATGAATTCCCTCCACATAACTGCTGGACTTCACTCCCTGCCTGGTCTTCACTGTGGTTTGTTCCTGCCTGTTTCCTCCATTTCATACTACTCTGCTCACTTTCTCCTTGTTCAGTTTTGATTTTCTGTCACTCCCTGCCATTGCCTCTCTCCCAGTTTGCCTTGCCTTCACTCTCTTTTCTCTTTAGCAAAGTCTGTTGATTTTATCTTTCAACATCAGGGCCCCAGCTGATGCCTAACTTTGCTACCCTACTGCTTACACCCATCCCTTTTGGCCCTTTGTATTTCCAACAAGACTTTTTTTTTTCTTTTGAAAATGGCCACAACTTCTTCTTTGCATTAGGGTCCCTGTGTTCATCCCACTGTGTTTCTTCCCAAAGTACTCACTTAGTCCAGAGTTGCATGAGCGCCTGCCCTTCTGACATATCTGGGAGCAGGACCTGACCTGCTCTGCCTTGGGATGTCCTGCCATGCAAGACATCAGTAGGTTTTTCTCCCATGCTGCTAGTCCAGTGCTGGTCTGCAACATCCCTGATCTCACTATGTCTATTCTGGGTTTGCGTGGAAAGAAGCTTTAGTGTTCTCACGTAAATGACGTTAATGAAAAAGCTGTCATAAATCATTATCTCAGGATATGATTGTACAGTTATGCAACTCTGGCTACTCCATCAGCTGCCACAGGTACCATGTTCCAGTGAGTGAGGTTTGTTTTCCTGAGATAAGAGATGTGTCATCATAGAAAGACTTCTGAAGTGTCTCATAGCCTTGTGCAGGTGATTAGGATGCTGTTGTCATCAGTGGGACTAATTGTAGCCAAATGGCTGCACACACAAGACCCAGATATTTCAAGTGAATCTATTACTCTATTGTTATGGAAGCTTTTGCAGTGGACGATTAGACAGCTGTACCCAAGAGACTTATACCAACCAAATCCTTCCTCAGTTAAGTGTGACTGACCTTCTACCAGTGTGAGACTGAGCCCTCTGTGCTTTATGGAAATAAACTGGATCACACACAACAATGTGATTGAATTGGCAAGGAACTAACCAGTTTGATCCAAGTTTGACTTTGTCCTCCACCTATAAAGTTTCGTTCTGCTGGTGCTGAAGAGTCTTTTTTCTCTCTGTAGACATTAAAGAAGAGGACAAAGAGTGAGCACTCAGGACACACAGTTTGGTGTGTTTAGGGCATAAGAAGATTACACCTTCAGTATTGCTGAACTCTTTGCTCTAGTCCCATACACTAGGCTAGGTCTGCTTTTGATAGTTACGTTCAATTTATCTCATGTATAGTCTGACACAGCAGACATCGCTTTCCTGACTGTCACCTGTGATTTCTTCAGTTTGTTTGAAAGTAACAGTCTCCTCCTTTCCATGTGGCTGGGACCCAACTAGAAGTTATTTCCTTGTTATGTTGTGACCAACAACTAACCCAGAGAGTAGCTCTTATTACTATTCCTTCAGGATGAAAACCAAAGAAGGGATTAAATTTGTTCTTACCACCTGAGTTGTATTTTTGTCTGTGGTAAAGATCAGTGATTTCAGGTCCTGGAGTAACCAAGGAACAACCAAGCAGTTTTTTGAGAAACTGTTCACAAACTGAAACATTATCCTGGAGACATGGTTTTGTCATGGAGGGCAGCAGGATCAGGGTTCAGCTTTCAGGTAGATAATGACTGAGAGGATGAGGCACTTCTCACCAGCTCCAATTGTTCCTGAGTATATTCACTTTAATTGCCTCAATTATTTTTGGTGAATGGAGGTAAACTGTCCATCCAGGAGGTAGGGAAGCTGTGTTCTTAGGACTGTATCAAACCCCATTCAGAAGTAATAATAGTAGGAGAAAGGACAACAGTATCAGGAGAAACAAGGTGACCTGAAGTGTAAGGTGGTCCTAGACTCAGAATCGTAGCAGAATTTAGGTTGGAAGGGACCTCTGGAGATCCCTCATCCTGACATCTGCTTAAAGCAAGGCCAACTTCAATGGTAGAGGAGGTTGTTTGGGGCCTTATCCAGCTGAATTTGAAGACCTCTAAGGATGGAGATCCCTCAGCCTCTCTGGGTCCCTGTTTCAGTGTTTTGCTATCCCACTGTGACTATTTTTTCTTTTATAACCAAGTGGAATTGCCCTTATTGCAACATGTGCTAATTGCCTCTTGTCTTCTTTGCCTTACACCTCCAAGAACAGGCTTGTTCTGTCTCCTTCGCATCTCCCCATTAGTGGGATGTAGGTCCTCTCTTAGCCTCTTTGTCACATTAAGCAAACTCAGCTTTGGGGAGAACTGGTTTGTACTCTTCCATTTCCATCCCACCAGTACCTCCAGCTCCACTTCCTCATCTTTGAGTTTCTTGTACGCTTCTCTGTACCTCACCCTACACAGCCCCTTCTGAGTGTACACCAGTCCCTGACCTGACCTTTCTTGCCCATCTGGCTCTATTATATTAAGCTAAGCCGTATATAGTGTTTTAGTGTTATCCACACTGTCATCTTCCTCTGTACTTTGAGTGATTGTACTCTTGACACTAAGAGTGTCTTCGACAAGTGTTCAAAATGAGCCCAAGCCACTATGGGCTAGTAAATAATGGTCCTAATACAATCTCTGTGATTGAAAAATGACTCTTAGCATTTCTGTACTGCAGATACTGTTAAATGGTCATCTGATGCTTAATATATCTTGGAGATATGTACTAAGGGCTCAGTTCTGCCAACCTGCTGTCTTTAGAAAATGTGTTGTCTCCAACAGGATGTACTGGATGCTGGTGCCAAATAGACAGATCTCATTAGCTTCCCACATCCTCCCCAATCAGCAAGGTTTGTAATGCAGTGGGGAGGTATTTGCCTAGAAAACAGGCATGGTTGATGGTTGGACTTGATGATCTTGAAGGTCTTTTTCAACCTAAATGATTCTATGATTCTAGGATTACTGGTGGTTGAGTGAATCCTCTCCTCAGGAGGGAACTGTGCAGTATTGCATGGGGCAGGGAACTCAGACCCCAGCTTTAGGTCCTTGTTCTGCCACTCACATTCTGTACAACCCTGGGCAAGCGGCCAAAAATTCAAACACGACCTGAAAGTTGGTGACCAGTTTGTGGTACCTCAGGTGTGATTGTAAAAGATGGTGAGCACCCACAGATCCGTGTCAATCAATGGGAATTCAGCTTCTTTTGGAGAACACCAAATACCAGTTCCTCTTCCTTAGTGAGGAATAACCATAGCAGCAAACAAAAGGACCCCTGACTTGGGACAGGCCTAAGTATTTACCTCTTATTACTGCTACCTTCACCTCTCTCTGAGCCTGTCTTAGCACAAAAAAAAATCTGTGCTCTCATGTCCCTGTATGTGACAACCCCTTCATTCCATATGTATCAGTATGTGTGCACATATACATATCGTATGATTGGTTATAGCCTCTATGCATGCTCTCTCTACAAACAATAAATAATCAAATAAAGTTTAAAATAATATTCTTATTTTATACAGGGTGGTTGTGAACTAATGTAATCCTCTTCTGGAAACTGAGATCTTCCAAGACTTTCTTTTGCAGAGCACAGTAGTGTTGCAATTAATTATGCACAAGGATAGCAGTCTGTAGAGGAAATGATTTGGAAAATGGAATGGACTCAGGTCCCAAACTATTTCTCATATGAAAGACCAGAAATATGGCATTTAAGGAATGCTAGTAGATATAAGCAACACCGGCATCATTCTCATCAATATGCAATGAAAGAATTTCTCCTCCTTACATCTTTCTTGGTACCCGAGGTGACATTAGGCATATTCCCTCTGCCAAGAGAAAAGAACCTTTCAAACTCTATCATCTTTAAAATGCCACTGTCCCTTATAATCCACACAAGCCACCCCCTTCCTTCTTCTCCTATGGCTCAAGAGATAGCTTGTGGCTGCACTAAGAAAATCAGTGCATTTCACGCTATAATTGTTCCACTGTGTCCATGATATTCACAGAGGAAAAAAATCTTTGAGTATCCACTCATCCAAGGGGAAAACATTGGAGGCAACTGAACTGTGTGACATTTCTTTTTCTTGGGGAATAGCAGAGAGACCTCACTACCATTAAAGAAATCCCTAATGGACAAAAAGCTAAAGGTAGGCTAATGGCTGTGTTGACATTAACCCATGAAAATTGTTTAATCCTTTTCTTCTGGACTGCTGGTTCTCCTTTAAGAAGCCCACTGCCACCACTTCCATGTACTGAGCTTCTTGCAGAAAAAACAAGGATTTAAGGAATGTGGGGACTAGACTCCTAATCTGATTCAATCTTAAAGAAGTTTGGGTTGGGCAGGGCAGTTTTGCTGTAACCTTTAGAAGATCACAGTGCCTGAGACTTAGGGCTCTGGTATGTTCAGTGGTGACTCTTTATGAAGGCAGTGCTTTATGCTACGGAGAACAGTTCATCTGCACTGTCACTGACAGCAAGGAAAATGGTGGAGAGATAACATAACCCTGGGGTGAAGTGAATTAGTAGAAGCATATGAAAAACTAAACAATAGCCAGGCAAGCCTGTAAATACATGCAGCAGACACAAAAAAAGAAACAGCTTTTAAGCCATATTTTTTTTGTTGTTATTGTTGCTTTTTTTTTTTCTGTTTATGGTAGAAATCCAACTACGGCTGGTTTTGCACAGTGACTGTGGAAGTGAAAATACTGAATGCCATTCTAGCTACTGTGTGAAAATACATTTTTTCCCCTATTTCTCTCTCCCCAGGGCTCTGGCTGACATCTTAAGGCAGCAGGGACCAATCCCAATAGCACACTGTGAAAGAGAGACTATCTCGGCCATAGATACCTCCCCCAAAGAAAACACCCCAGTCAGGACATCTTCCAAAAACCATTACACCCCTGTGCGCACCTCCAAAAGTAACCCAGGTAAGTGCTGCTTTCCTGCTCTCTCTCTTCAGAGGTGGTTGTACCAGTGGTATGTTAGAAGTCAGCAGAACATCACGCTTTACAATAGCGGCTTTTATAAACCTGAAATTAGGATAATAAATGGCTTTTAAAGGCAATCAGAGAGAGCAGATGAGTGCAAGGGTCAGTGGTGATGATTCTTTAAGGTTTTTGCTGAACAGAGTGGCTGTTCTCTCTAGGCATTTTAAAAATTCAGAATCGGTGAGGTATAAATTCAGCTTATACCAAAATGCTTGCATTAAGCTTAGGATATTGTGTATTTCCAACGAAACACATATGCTATGAAGCATAATCAGTCTCTCTGCACACAGCAGCTGAGGAGAAAGAAATCCACATAATTGGGGCCACCTTATTCATTCAGGTGAGCTATAAGCATGTGCTGAGAGGAAAGTGTGGAAAGTAACCTAGAGGGTATCCCAGGAGCTTAAAGATACTGGCCTGAGGTCCTCCAGGAGCGTTGGGCTGGGAACTGGGACACATAATTTTTTTTCCGGCTTCTGCTGGCTGGGTGAATTTGGTCAAACCATTTGACTGCTTTTTGCCCTGATTTCCCCAATGGCACAAGGATGCCAGCCTCTTAGGTGAAGATATTGTTCTGATTTATTTGATGCTTCATATATTGATAACTGTCAAAACAATGTCTTGATGGTTGCTGACCACCTTTGTTAAGTGGGATGTGGTAGACTTGCCATCACCTGCCATCTCTCAGTTGCACTGGATGTATGCCTCAAAGATATGCCCTCATTCAGTCACAAGCTATTCAGCTTCTGGGTGGCGTTTCCTGACCTGTGTCACCTGGCGATTAGAGGAGGTTTTGCTAATGGTCCCTGCTGGGGAAGCTTCTGAAAGAAGCTAGCAGGAGCTCAGACTGCTCCACAACCTGCGGGGCTCGATGTGCTCGGCTCTTTGTAGAAAGGGCCCATGACTGAGGGCAGTGACTCTTTCTTTTCTGTTGCCTCATGGTGACTATTAGGAGGGTTTTGCTGCAATGTGCATCACCCTATGGAGACAGGACCAGGTGACCGTGTTCTCTGGAAGCCTCCCCTGCTGCTGGGAACAGAATAATTTCCCTGAGAACTAAGAAGGATTTCTTTGCTCTCCAATTTTTTCTCAGAGGCCTACAGTGAACCCTGTAATTTTGTATGCCAGAGAGTTATACCTGTGAAATAAAACATTGGGCTGGAGAACAGTACGTGAGGTGAGTTGTCTGGAAGAAGAAGGTGTTTTTGCATATCTAGGGCTTGGGACTGGCTCTTGAGAGCATATATGATTCTGCCCCAGGATAGAAACACAAGAAATAAGGGTTTATGGCCAGCAAATAGGCATAGGCAACGTCAGAGAACAACTCTGACATAAGCCTTACAATGAGATGAATCCCTTTCTGAAGACACCCTATCTTTTCCCGTTCACTCACATTTGTCAGTTAAGGCAGGCAAATCCTGAACAAAGATGCAGAAGAAATTCTTTGCTTGCAGCAGAAAAGAGCAGCTGGGTACTGGAACTCTGAATTAGGTGTCATGTTTAGGCACTGTCAACTCTGAGAAAAGGCAAATGGGAAGGTTTGGGAGGGGAATTACTAATTGCAGTATTCTTCTCTGGTGTCTGTCAGTAGCTGATTGCTCCAATGGACATTTTTAAGACATACTGCTACATTAATGAAGGCACACAAGGATGCAAGGACCAGAGCACAGGTATCTTGAGTGGGGTGCTAGTGCAAATGGTCATGCTACAAAGTGACAGCACCCAGTGAGGAATCTACTTGGTCCTTCCTGAGGACTGGGACATGAGATGAGCAAGGCAAAATGGCTGGGAAGGAAAAGGCATGATGTTAAAGATGACAGTCTGTTCTTTCAGACTCTGCTTGTCTGTATGTTTGCCCATACCATGTGAAGGAGAAAAGCCATTACAGTTCAGTCAGGGCTGAAACAGGCAAGCCACAGGCAACAGGAGCCCACTAAAAGAAGATATCCACAAACCCAGCTACAAAGGAAAGGGATTTTACTTCCACCACAGCCCTTCCACAGCCATTGGCAGCTGTAGGCGTAATTGATCACTTCTGCCTCGGGGCAGCCAGCTGGACGGAATGTCACACTGAGCCCTTGCCAAAGCTGGGAAGGAAAAACTTGCTCTTGTAGCTTACCCAAAAGAACTTGTTCCTGGCTCAGTTGTGTCCGTTATTAACATGTCCTCATATATCATGAGAGACAGAAAGCTAATCACTTACAAAAGATCATGAGCTCATAAAACAGATATACAGTTAATGATTTTTTATACTATTTCATTTGCAGAGTAGGGCAATGCTCCATTGTAACTATATTCTATTACTCAGATAATCTTCAGATTATTGTGGTAATCAGGAAATTGTATAAGCGAATGCTAAAATCTTTTAGGTTGGTAGGGAAGTAAAAGTTGGAAAACAAGAATTGGTTATAGCACATTAAACTAGAATAAAGCTGGTAAGCCCCAGTATGGAAGTAGAAGAGGGGTCACCATCAATACTTGCTTTTTGGGGAGGAGGGGAAGAAAAGATATAAAAAGAGGGGAATGGAGGACGACTGGGGGAAAAAATAGAAGCAGTAATATGTAATAGCAGAATCCAGACAAAGCACTGCTCACTGGTGCTGCAAATTGGCTTGAGAAGACCACAGCTGTAGGGTTTTGCAGTGGGATCTGAAAAGCATCAGGTCTGCTGGCTGTGGTTTGTCTCAGAACTCCAGAGTATGAGAGGTTAAGCAACCAGAAAGGACTATAGAAGTTACATACAGGCTGAGATTGAGTTTTATATTTGTTTTACTTTGAACTTTTGTTTCCAAACTTATAACTAGAAGGGTGCCCTTAAGTCTTGCTAAATAAACCATAGCTTCATTTTTCCATTAAGCTTGTTTGGTGTCAGTGAACAAAATTATTGTGGGTGACAATGACAAATTGTGGTGGTCTGTGTCTGAGGCAGTAGAGTCCAAACAAAGCAGCTTGTGCTGGTGCTGCTGAGGGCATGCCTGCGACACTTAACTTGCTGGGTGATGCCTGCTGTTTCCTGATGCAAGTACGGAGAGGAGTCCATCTCCCACGTGCCAGCTGCCACCCTTCCTGAAAGCACTCATACAGCCCTCAGATGGTCACAGCAGGAGATCACAGGATGGGAACATACATCTTCCTCTGGTAGTGCACCAAGGCATGGTCACTGTCTCCAGCTGTTGCAGATGCCTGAAGGAGAGTTCAAGACCAAGGCAAAGTCCTCAGTGTATTTGTCCAGGCACTTCACAGCAGGCAGTTTCAGAACTCCCTGAGCTCTGCAGTGGGACAGGAGGGCCTGGTGTTAGGTTTAGTCTGTACTTCTCTGTTGAGCTTTGAGATAGAAGAACCCAGGTCTAACTAATGCTTGTTTAAGGGAAAAAGAGAAGTAGGTCTCTCTGTCCTAGACATAGAGACAGTTGTCATTCTTCAGACAAGCCACCCAGTTTCAAGAAGGATTCAGCCTACTACTTCACAATGGCCACCTTCCCCAGGTGGTGTGGGAGCCGGCTATTTATCAGAAGCAGAATACATTTCCCACAGGGTATTCTGCCAAGCTTGAGCATCCCAAGTGTCTGAAGAGCATCTTTCCAGAGATTATTGCCACTTTTGCTTTCCTGTGAGAACGAAGTTCACGCTGTTTTGGGATGGCAGGATACATTTCACCTCCCCTTCTGCCCACCCTCACTTCCACTGACATTTCTGTTCATTGCTTTTATACAGTGCTGCTGTTTTGGTGTTGGTAGGCTCTTTGCAGATAAGAAAAGTTGAAAGTTGTGTCTACAGATTGCTTGGGTCAGAGCATACCTCTCCAGCTGTGCACCACCTAATTAGTATGAGCTACACCACTCTCTGTAGACAGGAACGTTCCTCCAGCCCACACAGACCTCTTGTAAGTATAGTGTTTGCTATTGTGAGTAACAGGTAAAATATGATGAATCTGAGATTACAGGAAATCCATCTCATCTAGCTATCTATTGGCATTTTTAATGTCTCTATCACAGTAGCACCTTTAGGGGTGTTGGAAGGAAAACTCTAACAACATTTCCCCCATCTTTTCTCCTCGGCCACGTTATCTATCCTGACATGTGCTGTGAAGGTCAGTGCCATTCATTTGTTCAGTGGGTGGCCAGCAAACATAGACAAGGACGAGGAGAGATGGGAGAAAAGTCAATAGTTCCTGCGGGCTTGGAAAACATCATACATAAGCAGCAATATGCTCCCATAGCAGAAGGTGCTGCATTTGGCACAAGAGACAGAGTTTGAGCCAGAGGCCATCCTCCTGCAATGTCCACAGTCAACTGATGTGTCAGAAAAGATGAGGGCAGTTCCTGTGACAGTGATGCTGATGGACATTAGCATTAGTGGAAAAATTAAGACTAGATTCTCAGTTCAGATGACCTCCAATACTGTCCTTCAATATTTGAAAGCCCTCTGAAAATCAGATGCAAGGGGCTGGTTTGCTTTTCCCAAAATGTGGCTAAACAAAGCACCTGCAAGATTCAATCCCTGCAGAAACTTTTCTGACCGCCTTGGTGATAGAGGGGTAGCCAGCTCAAGACTAACAGTCATGCAGGGAGCCATCTCATTACTGTTTGCCAAATCATCACCAAACCACAAAAGACTCCAAGTAAGAATTTGAAACAGATCTTTGGCTGGTGTAAATCAATGTTGTACTATCACAGTGATGGGCCACGTGCTTGGTTTAGGTAAATCCTTATGGGTCAGGAAGGCTTATGTCCCAGACTCACAGCTGGTACAAATCTATGATGCTCCAGAACAGCACATGGTCTGAATTCATCCTTTGTTCTGTCAGACTCATTCTTGCTCTTCCACACTGGCTGTTTTTCATACAATTCACCTTGATAGTATTGCCAAACTGTGGGAGAGGGGATGCTCAGGACCATTAGACTGATGTGGGAAGCTATGTGGGAGAAGAATCTCTCTAA